ATGGTGTATGCAAGGCCCTGGGGACACTGACAGCTCAGAACTTCATCTTAGCGTTTGGGTTAGGTTTATGTACGTGACCTTAAATCCTTTGTTTTCTTTTGGCTTTGTGTTAAGGGGATTTTTGCTCTTGTTTTGAGATAGAGCCTCAGGTTGCCTACATTAGCTTCAGAGAATGGTGACTTTGAACCCTTGAGCTCTTAACCCTCCTGCCTCTACTTCTCTCAAGGGCTAAGATTACAAACGTACACTACCGTGACGGCTCCATCTATTCCTATGTGTCTGCTTCTATACATCATGCTAAAGATAAAAAAGAAAAATGAGTCTTTATTCTTCTATCAAGGAACTTATAAATACACCACAGGCACATGGCCGTACATTCTGGAGGCCGAGGAGAGCATGGGAGAATATAAGCATTCTAGGATTAAAGGCATACACCACTACCTCCAGGCTGACTCACACATTCAAAAACCTAATTTGGGGAGATAGAGGCAGAAGCAAGATGCTCAAAGGCTACCTAAGAGTTAGCCAGGTAGAAAAGAGGGAAAACGCCCTTCAGCTGAGCAAGTCACCAAGAAACCCCAGAGACACGGGGATGTGAGTGCAAGAAAGAGTTCCCTGTGGCTGGAGGATTACATTGGGAAGCTGATGGGTTGGTGGTCATAAGAAATCTTGTCTGTCACAAGGTAGAAATTCAGAATGGCTTAGTTTTAGGGTCTCAGTATTCTAGCCCAGGCTTGCCTCAAACCCATCATCCTTCCATCTCTGCCTCCCAGGTGGAGGAGGAGGAGAAAGAGAAGGAAGAAGAGAAAGAGGAGGAGGAAGAAGAGGAGGAGGAGAAGGAGGAGAAGGAGGAGGAGGAGGAGGAGGAGGAGGAGGAGGAGGAGAAGGAGAAGGGGAAGGGGAAGGGGAAGAGGAAGAGGAAGAGGAAGAGGAAGAGGAAGAAGAAGAAGAAGAAGAAGAAGAAAGTCCAGTCACGCTTGGTAGCACATACAGGTAATTGTAGCGCTTGGGAGGTGGAAGCTGGAGAATTAAGAGTTCAGAGAGTTCAAAGCAACCTTGCTGACACCGTGAGCAAACAAAATAAGACTCACTGTCCCTAAGACATGGAACAATCCACACATCTGTTCACTTGGTGTGTATTTATTATCTCCTAATTGTCAAGCACTGGGGATACCCAGAGAAGTAGAAGCAAGATCCACTCCTTCATATTCAAATATCTATCATATAAAGTAAGAAGATCATAGTGGTGGATACAAAAATGCCAGAAGGAATTCATTAATTCTGCCTGGGGGTGAAAGGGAAGTGACCTCAGAGGGGTAGTTTGTGCTTTTTGTTTTTTGACATGGGATCTATATATATAGCCCAACCTAGCCTCAAACTCTCAATTCTCCTGCCTCAGCTTTTTGGGTGCTGCAATTACAAGCCCATATCACCCTTCCCAGCTGAGTTGGAAACATGGAGACATTCCAGCTGGGGAAACTCATGAACAAGAAGTAGGCAGGGTGGAGGACGTGGATCCAGGGTGGATAACGATAAGCATCGTTATCTTCTGTGACAGAAAGTTGATGTGAGATGAGGTGGCAGGATTGGCAGCTGGAGGTGGGTTGGGACCAGACAACAGATTTGAAAGGAGAATGTTCCTTATTCTTACAAAAGAGTGACAGATTCTGAATATGAAGTAACATGATCAAAGGGGTGTGTCAAAAGAAAAATTCAAACTCAACTGTCGTGTGACAAAGTTTTTCCTGGGGAGATGCAACACACACACACACACACACACCTACTCATCCAAATAGGGAGCCCACAACAGACCAAAGTACGGATACCACCAAAGTCCAAGTCCAGACTTGGTGAACCAAAGAGTTTTATTGGGGTTACTTACAGGAGTATGACGGGTAAAGGGCTGCTTACAGGAACAGAAATGACTCAAAAACAGCTGCATCACCAAGATCCACCCCAGCACGGGTGACAACTCATAAAAGCCGGGAAATCTGGAGCACACTGCACAGGTTAGAGAGTGTACTTCTCAGGTGACTGTTCTGGACTTCTTCCAGGCAGCTCAGTTAGTTTCTGTTTTGTTCAGGCAGAGGCTCTGCTCTCAGAGTCTTGCAAGAGATGGATAAAAGGCCACAGAGCAGCAGTAATTCAAAAGATAGTAGAGGGGACAGGCTAGATAATCCAGCAGGCAGAGGTACACGCTTCCAAGACAGATGACTTGGGTTGCATCCCTGGAACCCATAGGAAGGAAGAGGAAAAAAAAGGACTTCCCCAACTTGTCCTTCATCCCCCATGCACACTATGGTACATGAGTTCAAAGACACACACAATTCACTGAAAAAAACATAATTAAAAAAAGAGGGATGGGGCTGAAGGAATGGCAGTCAAGAACACTTACTGCTCTTAAATAAGACCCAGGTTTGGTTCCCAGCACCTATACAACTCACAACTGCCTGTAACTCCAGTACCAGAGGATCCATGCCTCTTCTGACTTCCAAAGGTTCTTGAACACACACATGTGATGCACATGCATGCACTAAATCAGCCACACACATACACATACAAATCAAAAGTAAGAACCAGAGAAATGCTAGCGGTGAGAGCTATCATAAGTGATCTATTTCACTTCCCTTCCACATGTCTTGCCATACTGGGAGACTGGAAAGCAAAACTACATTTCCCAGAAGCCCCTGCAGTTAAAGTCCAGTCCATGGCTTCTGAGGAACTGATCCGTTTGTTGAAGGTTTGGAAGATAAAAGTGATAAAGAGCAGCCGGGCGGTGGTGCCGCACGCCTTTAATCCCAGCACTCGGGAGGCAGAGGCAGGTGGATTTCTGAGTTCGAGGCCAGCCTGCTCTACAGAGTGAGTTCCAGGACAGCCCGGGCTATACAGAGAAACCCTGTCTCGAAAAACCAAAAAAAAAAAAAAAAAAGTGATAAAGAAACCAGGTTTCTGGATTCTTTTGCTACTTCATCCAGTAAGTATAGTCACAAATACACAAAATAACTGGGAATGTAGGCAAATGCCTTTATTTCCAGTGTTCTGGAGGCAGAAGCCTATGGGTCTTTGTGAGTTGAAGCCCAGCCTGGTCAATGTAGAGCATTCTAGGCCAGCCATGGCTACAGAGTGAGACCCTGTCTTAAAAAAACAAAACAAGGGCTAGAGAGATGGCTCAGTGGTTAAGAGCTCTGACCGCTCAGCCAGCAACTGCATGGTAGCTCACAAGCATCTGTAATGGGATCCATGCCCTTTTTGGTGTGTCTGAAGACAGTGATGGTGTGCTCATATACATGAAAGAAAGAAATCTTTAAAAAAAAAAAAAAAAAAACTACACACACACACACAATATCCAGAGACGCTGACATTACGAGTTCAAGGAGAGCTCAGTCTACATAGAGAGATCTTGGGATTTCAGGCATGTGTCACCACCAGCTCGAACCCAATTCTCCATCCTCCATCTACTCCCCAATTCTGATCAAATCCAGGACCTCAGACATGCCAAGCAAGTGTTCTACCACTAAGCTATACCCTCAGTCCCCAAGTCCAGTCCACCTTTCCTCCCTCCCTCCCTCCCTCCCTCCCCCCCTCCCTCCCTCCCTCCCTCCCCATCCCCGCGCTTGCCCCTTCCCCTTTCTTTCTTTTTTTTCTTTTTTTTTTTTGGTTTTTCGAGACAGGGTTTCTCTGTATAGTCCTGGCTGTCCTGGAACTCACTCTGTAGACCAGGCTGGCCTCGAACTCAGAAATCTACCTGCCTCTCCCTCCCAAGTGCCAGGGTTAAAGGCGTGCGCCACCACTGCCTGGCCCCCCTTTCTTTTAAGATAGGATCTCATGTAGCTCAGGTTGGTCTCAAACTCTCTATGTAGCTGAGGATGACCTTGAAGTCCTTGTCCTCCTGGCTCTACTTCCTGAGTGATGGTATTTATAGGTGTGGGCCACCATGCTCACTCTACTGAGTTATATGGCCAATTTCTTTCAGTGTGTGTGTGTGTGTATGTGTGTGTGTGTGTGTGTGTGTACTCGTGCACACGCACATGCATGCTCTGTTGTAGTCCAGGCTGGTCTAGAACTTTCTATATAGCTAAGCTGGCTTGAACTGAAGGCAGTCCTCTTGTCTCAGCTTCCCACTGTCCTGTGATCACAGATGTGGTCTGTGGTGCTCGCCACCAAAATCAGATTCTTGAAAGAACAACTTTGAAGCATTGATGGAAGATTTTTGTTTGTTTGTTTGCTTTGAAGATATAGTGCTTCTCTGTGTAGCCCTGGCTGTCCTGGAACTCACCATGTAGACTAGGCTGTCCTGAAACTTAAAGATCCACCTGTCTCTGCCCCCTGAGTTCTGGGATCAAAGTCATGTGCCTCTACCACCTGGTTACATTAGTGGAATTTATTCTCATTTACTGCCTATCCTGAGGGTCACTTTCCCCTCAGATCTTGCGATATAAACATAACTAGTTATTCCAGCAGTGACAAGCATCCAAAAGGTCATTTGGCTGCCTCTCAAAAAAAAAAAAATGTTAATATTGCAAGTTTGTGTTTACGACACACTTGAATAAATAGATTCTTTTTCTGTATTCTTCTTTGTTTTTTCCTTAGGGTAGTTGGTTCCATTTGACATCAGCCTGGTGTCTGTGTTTCCAAGGTTGCAGGAGCAGAAAGGGAAAAGAGCCTCAGTCTTCTCCTTAGAACTCTTTGGAGTAACAGTCTGATACTGCCAGGAGTCACTAGGGTTTTCTGTTTTTACAATCAAACCCAGGGATTCACATGCTGTCATAATGTGGCATACAGAAACCCAGTGTAGTAAGAAGACAGGAGCAGAAGGAGCACATGCAATCTAAGTACCAGCTTATGCTTATTGATGGGGATGCTGGAGATTAAATCCCGGGTATCTGGTATGCTATAAAGGCAGTTTACACTGAGCTACAACCCCAGGCCTCATCCATTATTTGTTTTATTTATTTATTTGATTGTTTGGGGGCGGGGAGGGGGAGGCCCTAGGCCTTCAGGGTGGATTTGAGCGGTTCACACATTTGCATGACATTCTTGGGCAGGGCCTATGTTAATCTTCTCAGTATGGTTCCAATTCTAGTATTTGTGCTGCCCAATCAGATGCTGACGATTCATTTGAATATGCCTTCATTGTATCATTGGTGACAAAGGGTTCTAGTTAACTGAATGGCAGTATTTCTGCCCAGGTGGATTAAAGCCCTTCCTGGAAAACAGACATTGCCTTATTAAAGTTGTTTCCATCCAGCTCCGAGCAATGGTCCTTGGGATAAGCACCAAAGGAATGCTTGATGAATGACAGAGGAAAGTTTATCAACAGAGGGGCTAGTGTTTGGGTACTGACTCTGATTCTGTTTCCACAGTTGTGAAACAATTTTCTGGGATATATAGTCTGTTATTCCCAAGAAAGACATTTTACCTGAAGACATTTGAGTAGTATAGCTATTCAATGAGTTAAGTTTGGTTGTGCCTATAATAACACAGTGGACTGAATGACCTCCCCAGGCAACCTTCGTGGACTCTGTGACAGTAAAATCCAGTTACCAAAGACCCTTGACCTTGAGATCCGAGTCCAGAACCACTGGGTGTGTAGCTCCGTTCTATAAATGATTTGGGCACTTGGGATGTTTCTGTTTTCCCTTGTTTACCACTAGGATATTTCCTTTTTCCATGGGGATTTTCTGGAAAGGCCACACAACCACTTCAGAAAGCTGTCCTGTTGTTGAATGACCCGGATAAGTTTCTTATGCTCATTGGCAATCAGAGAAACTGTGGTCCATCTACGAAGAGAGAGGCCTAGACTGCTCAGTTGGCCAAGGCCAAAGGGAAAGTCCAGGCACCTCTGATGATGCCAAAGCTACAGTACGAGGCCTTGCAGGGGGCTGGTGGTTAAGCAGAGTTGCACTGAGGGCTTGCTGGGCTATACAAGGGGAAGGAAGTATCCACTGTGTCCAGCTTTGGACACAGCTTAGGAACAGGAGCTACAAACACTTCAGCACATCCTCCCTGCCCTGCCCTTCCAGGCCACAGTGAAAGCCTCCAAAGAGTGGAGCTTTGGATATGAACCTGTCTCTTAGCTATCTCCCTTCAACACAGACTGGGCTCAAGACAATAAAATCACAATCCAGGCTGGACGTGATGGTGCTTCCCAGGACCATCACCAAATGAGCCACTCCACTCAAATATTTGTTCTCAGTCCTGCTTCTGGGGATCCAATTCAACAGCTCTTTTCTCTCCAGCCTGCTCCTTATACTATTTGCCTCCAACGCTGAGCGTCTCCTTCTGGAAGGTTCTGAAGACATTACCCTTCCTGTGATGTCATGTCCCAACCACCCAGTTCAACCATTGTGGCATAAGGACCTCCCTCCGCTAAGGTCCTGGGCCTTCACTTAGACTTCTGGCTGCGATTGCATGTGGGCGTTATTTGACTTTGCTCTCACTAGAAACTATGACTTACTCATCTTTGTAAACCAAAGCCTCAACAGGATGCTTTATACAGAGTAAAAGCCCAATAAATATTTGATGAATGAATAAAGGACTCCCCTGACGTCACTGGTTTCCTACAGAATCCTTATGCTCTCAAGAAAGGAGGCAGAAGCCCTATTCCTGACCCACAGTCCTGGGCCAGGGGAATTCTTCTCAAGCCTGGAGAAGAGGTAAAGGGAGCTCCTCAGCTCTGTCCACAGGGCATGCCACTATGATCTTAGTGGACAGGGACCCACCCACTCCTTCTCTGGCTGGTCTCCAAGCTACCCAGCCCAGGAATCCAGGGAATGAATAGCAAGGGTGTGAAAGAAGCTAGACCTGAGGGCTAGTCCAAATCCAGGGGCCCACATTATAAAATGGCTGTAGATAAGATTTAGGCATTTAAAGAAGCCATTAGTCCTTAAGGGAGCTGCTGTATTTTAGGTTTTATGTCTGGATGATGGTAAAACCCCGCCCTGGTGTCAGCTGAGAGTTGAGTAAATAGCCCCAAGGGGATGCAATCCTTAGAGGAATCCGAAGCAGTTGGTGAGCAGCAGTCAGGGTTGGGGTTCGCATATTGGTTCAGTTGACTGTCTGAAGTCTGCTGCCGGTTGGTTTTAAACGTTTACTGCCAAGGAAGACCTGATACCCTCTGCAGACTTCCAAGCAGAGGGAATGGATGGCGCAGGCCCATCCCTGCAACGTGAGACTTCAAACAAACAAACAGAACCCATGCTTCTAGAGCCAGGAGAAGGAAAGTGGGCCTTCCCTGATGGGCAGAAATGGACATGAGCAAACAACCCAAAGCATAGGAAATGGGGAACTGGCAGAGCAAAGTGACCAGAGTTCAGCCATGCTGGTGGTGGAGATGAAGAAACAACCAGGAAAGGCTAAAAAACAGAGAGAAAAGAAATAGGGGAGGGGTAATCATAAAAAGTGCCGAATAGGAAAGGGAGGGATGGCATTAAGGTACTGTCAAGGGACAAGCAGGTGGCACCCATCTGTCCCACGTATCAACCTTTTGAGCTCTTATAGTCATCCTACAAACGAAGACATAGAGGCTCAGAGAGGCTAAATGATCTGTCTCAGGCCTCCCAGCAAGGAAGGAATGAAACAGAGGTCAAATCTGTTGGTAGGTAGTTTGAATCACATGATAGTTCTCGATGTTTGATTTAGGTCACAGGACCAATGTTCTAATTCAACCCTTGGTGGGTTTATAGTGAGATGGAAGGCAGAGTTCAAATCCTGCCTCTACCTAGGTTTCTGAGTATACCGAAAGGTGGGTGCTTTAACAGTGAAGGAAGAGGGTATGTCAGCCAAGTTTAAGGCAGGATATAGTTCAGTGGTGGAGGGACTGCCCTGCTTGCTTAGGGCCTTGGGATCCCGCCCTAGAATCACACAGGCACACAAGACAAGTGTTTAAAGAGGCTTACCTTTTGGAAAATCTCCAAAAGGAAGAGAGGAAGAAAAGGAGTTGGGGGTAGGGTGGGAGTGAGGAGAAAAGGCAGGCTAAGGATGGGTCACACATCTACACTCGGATAGGATCAGAAAGACAATGAGAGGCAGAGTGGTTGGCAGTACTACCCCGTTTTCTGTTCTGAAGTCTGAAGCAGGAAGGCTTAGCTGTGTCACGAGAAAGCCTCTTACTGCTGTCTTAAAACCCAAACAAAAACATAGGAAGGAGGCTCCAGTCTTGAAAGCAGTGATTTCTAAGGAGGTCTTAGGACTGTGAGGTTTCAAGTGTCACCTTATGTGACTTGCTGCTATTAAACATGATTAGTGAGACCCTGTCTCAAACAAACAAACAAACAAACAAACAAACCAACAAACAAAAAAAAGCTGGAGCCAGGCGGTGGTGGCGCACGCCTTTAATCCCAGCACTTGGGAGGCAGAGGTAGGTGGATTTCTGAGTTCAAGAGTTCGAGGCTAGGGCTGGAGAGATGGCTCAGCGGTTAAGAGCACTGACTGCTCTTCCACAGGTCCTGAGTTCAATTCCCAGCAACCACATGGTGGCTCATGACCATCTCTAATGGGATCTGATGCCCTCTTCTGGTGTGTCTGAAGACAGCAACAGTGTACTCATACATAAAATAAATAAATAATTCTTAAAAAAAAAAAAAAGAGTTCGAGGCTAGCCTGGTCTACAGAGTGAGTTTCAGGACAGCCCAGGCTACACAGAGAAACCCTGTCTCAAAAAACCAAAAAAAAAAAAAAAAAAAAAGCTAGATGTATCACCTAATGAAGTGGTTGTCCTGGGTTCAATCCCCAGCACTCGTTAAGCCAGAAATGGTGCCCCATGCCTACAATGTTAGCATTCTACAAGTAGAGGCAAGAGGATCAGGAATTTAAGTTTGAGGCTAGCCTGGGATATATAAGAAAAACAAAAATGAAAATGTAATCCTTGCATTCATCCCATTGGATGTGGACCAGATGTGGGCTAACTGCACTGGACTTCCCAGAGTGCCTTATGTGCCAGGCACTGACCTGGGCTCTTACCATACTGTCTGTAGATTCATTGCCAACAGCGTGAATTACATATGGCAATTTCTACCTTACAGATGGGGACATTGAGGCTCGTGTCAACTTGAAGTTTCACCAGGAAGATCAGAGTTCCAATTTAATCCAACTTGGTACATATTCATCGCCACCACCACCACATAGCTAAGGCTAGCCTCAAACTTGATAGATACCTGAGGCTAGTCTTGAACTCTGCCTCCCATCTCAATATAAAACCACTGGAATTAGAGAGGTGTATGAGTTATAGGGAAGATTGGTTCCAAGTTTGAGGCTAGCCTGGTCTACATAGTGAGTTCTAGGTCAGCCTCGGCTATGTAGTGACACCGTTTCTCACCCCACCTCCGACAAAATGTAAGTAAGCGTTGCTGTGTGTAATTTTGACTGTCTGTTTAAACAGGGTCTATACATGATTCCAGGCTACTCTGACGGCTTTCATCATAGAATATTTCTAGAATTAAAAAAAAAAAAAAGAAAGGTGTTCATGAGCAGAAATGTATATATCTGAGAAACAGTAGAGGGAAAATATAGAAATCCCTTTGAACAATTTTATCACCGAAAGTGCCATCTGGCCAGGCCCGTGAGAAAACTACCGGAGATTAGCAGCTGGCAAGTTTTACTTCAGAAACTCAAGCAGTGTTCTGACTTACCCACCAGTGTAACCAAGGTTGTGGTCAAGGGGAAAAAAAAAGTGGTATACTATCCTTCTGAGTCATCAAGGCTGACAAAGTCTCCTGCTCCAAACCCTGTTTAGTCAATTTGTTTTTGAGATATAGTCTACATAGCCCTGGCTGGCCTGGAACTCACAGAGATGATCCTCTTGCCTCTGCCTCCCGAGCGTTGAGTGCTGGGATTGAAGATGTGTACCACCACGCTCGGCCTTCACCACGCTCGGCCTTCTCCTGGTCTTTTAGGAACTGATCTTGTCCATTTGCTATAGAGCATCGGTGCAGAGGGGGCAGGGTGGTTTCTTGTATGCAGTAAGCAGCAAGATGGCCCTGTAAGTAAAGGCACTGACAACATGAGTCTCATCAGCAGACTCCACGTGGTAGGAGAGAACTGACTCCCAGAAGTTGTCCTTTGACCTCCAAGGACCTTTTTTTATTTTTAAATTAGAAAAAAAACC